TGGCGGGACGGGCGGGATAAGCCCTGCGAGCGACCCGCCCCAAGCACCGTTCACTGGCCACTAGTGCTGCCAATCTCACCACCTGACCCCGACTCCCGGCTTCTATTGGCTAACACTTTATCACTCCTCCATTCTCATTGGCTCTTAGGCGGCTAATTCGGCCGACCTACAACCGTTCCTGCCTCCGCCGCCGCCATAGAGACCGGAACTAGAATTAGAGTAGAGTCACCACGAGAACCATAGAGTACCCGAGAGGACGGGCAGAGTGAACGTGACTTTCACGAGGCTGCAGCGCGGGCGGGCGGGCCCCACGTCCAGGGCTGGGTCTTGGCCAAGGGAAGGGCAACCGCCAAACGCCTGAGCCGGGATTACCCGGCCTTGACCCTAGGGCTTGGAAGGGGACCCGACGGCACCTTAGCCCATAGGGAGGAAAGGCCTCCCTCTCTCCCTCTGCTGTAAATGTGGTCCTTGTGACCCCGGACCATTACTGCGGATAAAGCCGTCTTTTCTACAATGGCCGTGTACTCTCGGCACAGCCGAGGGTTTCTGGAACGTATGCATTCAAAGAGCGTCTGTTTCGGCGGAGCAGTCCGTCACCTTGGAGGGACCATGCAGTCCCTCAGACCGCCCCGGCTCAGCATATTTAGGGCGGAGGGCGGTGGTGTACTCCACGGGGACCTGCCTTCTGATCCCTCTTACCAGGCATATAAGGACTGCCTCGTTAAGTATTCACGTCTTTCTGTATTGGCCACAAATCAGATTTAATTTCAACTCACGTTTATTGAGCAAGCTAGGCATTTCCCTTGTATTTTATCCTTTCAACAGCCATGCGAAACGGGGATTATTACCCACAGTTCACAAATGGTTTATAATTGAGGCTGCCACCTGATGTAGCTCAAGTCCTCCACCTTCATTTGTTCTTCATTAAGCTTCTACTATCTACTATCGGCCGGGGATGCTTTGGTTCGCAAGTCAGTTTCCGCCTTAAATTCAGTCTACGGATGAAGGCAGAAATTTAAACACCCAACACTCCACAAATACTCCAGCTCTGCAAAAGCACAAAGCATTTTGGGAGTGGAGGTGATAAGGTGGAATGCTGACTCCAGGAGCAAGGTTTATGGAAAAGCCTAGCGGCAAGAAGATGGGGGTCTGGGAGAATAGAAGTAAAGTAGTTGAGAAAGACTAGCATGAAAAATTGGGTTATAGAGGTAGGCAGGTTCAAATTAGTAACATTTTATTTGAAATTATCCTAAGGGCAATAGTGGAAAGGGTAGTTTTAGAATTGTCAGTAGGGAGTGGAAGATTTTTTTTTTTAAGGCTAATGAGTGTGGAGAATGGGTTGTAGAGTGGTGAGAATGGGTTGAAGAGGGGAGAGAATGGAAGTAGAGAGACAGCAAGCTAGTGCAGTAGTCCTTACCCCAGCGGTATCATCTAGCCTGTCACTTCCACCTCCTAAAGGCCTCCCGAATCAGAATCAGTCATAAATATCTCTCAATGCCAAACCAGAGTCTCTTCATTGCTACTGCCATGACACTAGTGTAGGCAATCATCTATTGCTTACAGCAGAGGTAGGCAAACGTTTTCTCTAAGGGCCAGATAGCAAATATTTTAAGCTTTGTACACCAGACAGTTCTGTCTCAGCTGCTCAACTTTAGAGCCTGAAAGCGGCCAATCAATAAACAAGTGCACCTGTGTTCCAAGAAAACTTTATTTATGGACACTGAAATTTGAATTTCATATTTTTACATGTCACAAAATAGTTTTGTTTCAACTATTTAAACATTTAAAAAAGCATTCTTATTCTTAGCTTATGAGCCACTGAAAAACAGGGAATGTGATCTGACCTGCCAACCAGTTTGCTGACCCCTCTCTTTAGAGCGCTGCTGTGGCCTCCTAGCCAGTCTCTACCTCTTTCTTTCTCTAACATTCTCCACCATGACATCCAGAGTGTTCTTTTGAAAACATCTCATCATGACAGTCTTACTTAAAATCTTTCAGTGACTACTACTGTCTAAATTCCTTATTGTGATTTACAGGACTCTGTAGGACTTCTCTAAACTTACCTCCTGACACTTCTTTCACATTCCTTGTTCAACCTTCCTGGTGATCTTTTAGACATTGCTTCCTTTAAGCTATCACATACTATTCCCTCTACTTATAACATTCTTCCTTTCTCCCTTCTTTTGCTTGCTTAACTCATCATCCTTTGGGTCTTGCCTCAAATGTTACTTCACTAGGAGACCCTCCTAACACACTGTATTGCATGAATTAAATCTTCCTTTCCTCAGACTATGAGTTCCTGAGCATCTGGCCTAGTACCAGACACAATATCTTAAGAAATCTGTTATATGAATAACGTGGTACAGAAAATGGATTGGAGGAGGTACTGGCAGTAGAGAGGTCATCTGGGCAGGTGAAGAAGGCTTGCAGCAACAATATGTATGGAGAGAATAGGTGGATTCTAGAACTGCTACTCATCTGTTCCAGCTCCAGATAACTTTTTAAAAAAATTAATTTATTCTGAGAGAGAGAAAGCACGAGCAGGGGAGGGGTAGAGAGAGGAGAGGAGAGAGAATAGCCAGCGGGCTGGGCCCCATCAGCACAGAGCCCAATGCATGCCTCCAATCCCGAACCATGAGATCATGACCTGCACCAATATCAAGAGTGCTTAACTGAGCTACCCAGGTGCCCCAGCTCCAGATAACTTTTGACTGTTAAAAAGAAAATGTTTTCTCAAAAGGCAGTTCTGCCAACATTGGGGACCTTTAAAAGTGTGCCCTTTGGCTTGAGACTTTTTCCCCAAGGTAGAGTTACAAAGACAGATTGAACAATGGGACTAGCACCTCTGCCAATAAAGAGCAACCTTCTCTATGTAACTGCTTTGAAGGGATGGCTCCTCAGCACAAATCTAAATTCTGTAACATTTGTCTTTAAAATGTTACCTAAAAGTATCATTACTTACTTATTCAATTATTTCACTAAGCTCTCTCCTGGTGCTCAAAGAGCATAAAGATGAGTTATTTAAGAAACTAGTTTCCTTGTAGCCACCTCCATACCACTGCCAAAATAGTACTGAAGCACTAGAGGATAAAGAGTTCATGTCAAAATTCAACCCCTTTTCCAAGGTGGGAGGTTTCCACTCCAGTTTTGCTAGACCCCTGCCACACTGCCCAGCATGGTGACCATAGTGTAGACAACCCCAGTGCCTACGTTTAAGTGGTGTGAAAGGCAAGACAGTTCATTCCAAGAATCTCTTTTGCAAAATAACATACACCTTGTCCTCTATCTCTAACAGACTCTGGCCCAAGAACATAGCTCCTCTTCCTAGAAAGCCCCTTCCTCCTTTATCTCCTGGCTAATTCCAACCAATCCATCAATACTTACCACAAATGTTACCTCTTCCTTTCACACCTCCCCCTGCCCGCACCCTCTTCCCCCAACCCCCTGCCCACTCCAGCATCTTGTACATAGCATTCATGTAACAGGTCTTTCTTGAGCACTTACTAGGTACTAGATACCTCTTCTAGGTGTGGGGACATAGCAGTAAAACAAAGCAAAACGACCGAATTTCCTGCCCCCCTAAGGGCTCACATTCTAATACCACACTGAATCAAAATGTGCCTATCTCCTGTCACAAGCAAGGGCCACATCCTACTCATCTTGCGGCTCCTGTGCCCAGGACAGACCCTGACCTAGAATGCAGGTGCCAAGTGTAACAATTCAGTTTAATGGCCCATCACAGGAACGTCAGCTTAGGATCCCAGCAGCTCATCCTCCGTACTCTCTAATTCCACCTTGTCTAGTTAAAGATCTCTCCTCTGCTAGGTCAGTCCTTCCTTCCCTTTGCTCCCTGAACCCTGTTTACCTAGCTACAGAGAGTTGCAAATATCTATACTGTAGGGCCCTTACACCAGCTCCCTTGGACCCTAATACACTGAAATGGCACTTTTAACCAGGTTCTCTTCTGTCATAGAATTCAGCTCCGTGCTACCTCTGCCACTGCCAGGAGGTGAATCATCCCCGCCCATGAGCCAAGAGAGAAAAAGGAGGAATGGGATAGCATAGAAACTGCCTCTTGAAAGCAACACTATGGAACTCCCTTTACCTCCTGAACATTATGCTCAGTGGGATCTTTCTATGTTGGGCTAGGTCCTTTCAAAATAAGCATTTTCCAAGGCATGTTACTGTTTACAAATTACCTTCCTATCCATTCTCGTATTTGACCCTCTCAACAGTGTTATGAAGTACATACGTATTATTATCCCCATTTTACAGAGGAGAAAACTGGGGCTATGAAAGGGGAAGAAAATTTCTCAAGACCTCTGTTGTTTATAAAATGACCCCAGATTGAAACAAAGATTTTTGAGTAAATTATTCCCAATTCCTCATGATCAAGACACATTCTACCAAATGGTCTCCCATCCACAACTATCCCAAGTTAGTGACCCTTTTCCCACAGGTTCTAGAACCAACCAAACTGAACCTACTGGGGATATCCTTGGAATAACTAGTGCTTCTAGCCCTGAGGCTTTACCGTCTTTGCCCAGCAGCTGGAGCCTGAGGGGGGACTGCTACAACTGCTTGCAGGTCTGAGGCGTCACCTAGTCACAGCCACAGTTGGGGTCTGGTCCCCGCTAGCCCTGGCAAGGGCCAGTCTTCCCAGCTGAAGCTAAAGCGTGAGGAGACAGTCTGTTATTACAACCATTTAAAAACAACACGTGTACAAAAACAAAAAAAAAAACAAAAAACAAACAAACCACTTTATTTACAGTTGAAAACTTAAGCAGAATATCTTGGGTTCTGAATCTGTGATACTTCCAAGGTCTCTTGATCAAAAAGGGCAGCAGCAGGCAGGGAAGCAAACACAGGGGCCAATCCAGATTATCTTACTCAAGAGCGTCACCCAGAGCAAGGGAAGGCCTACAATGGCAGAGACGTGGAAGTCTGTTAGGGATGGAAGAGATAAGCAGCTCAGAGGCACTGGAAGGGGACTTTCATGAGAAACAACACCCCCGGCTCTTCTCTACACTCCTAATCTTCTTTTCCCAAAAGAGCAGAACTGGTCTCTTGCCCTAGGTCAGACCTTTGGTTCCCCAGGGTAAAGTTGAGAGGTATATTACATAAGAACCAAGAAGAAAGAAACTAACATTTATGGCCACACATATCATCGCATTTATTTACCCTTCAGAACCTCTGTGCAGTATATATCGCCTGTAGTTAAGTAAAGGAGAAAACTAGAGTCCCAAGGGGTTTAATGGTTTGACAGTGATGGGGCTTCCTGGTCTACTCGGCTCCAAAGTCTGTGTACTTTTTGCCAGACCTTGACGGCTCTCTGTGGAACTCTAGAACAAAGAGAAATCCTTCCTCCTTGCAGGTTTTGGTCCCAGGGTTATAGAGAAAGTAAAGTCACACCCTCTGTTTATGGCCTTGGAGTTAGCTTTACTAAAAGAACAGAATGAGTACACTCAGAAACTATGGTCTCCCTCTCCCTAAACATAGCCACACCCCTTTTCCTCCAGGGGACAGTGAGTCCTGGTGTCATACTGCAGGCTCAGACAGAAGTTTAACCCTGGGCCCCCAAGCAGAATGTACAAAACTGCATAGATGTGCTTTGTAAGTTCCATGGTGCTCCAGGATCTAAGCTGTATTGTAGACCAGGCACTGTGTTTGTCAGTCAGCATGGTCTCTGCCTCAAGGAGTTCTGTCTAGAGAAAACCAAGTGAACACATTTGTGATATGCTGCATTAAATGCTGTGTAGAGAGATGAATCAAGTGCTGTGGGAGCACTGAGGAAGGCGCCGTTGCCTGGGCCTAGACCTGGGAGGAGATGGAGTAACCAGGGAGTGACTGACACACTGATATCAGCCACATGCTCCTCGGAGCAGCTGAGAGGAAGGAGGATTTGTTAAAACTATGTATATACAGTATATATTTCTCTTATAAGATACATGCTCAATATAGAAATTTCAAGCATATACACAACAGTAGGAGCAACGGGAAGAAAGGACTCTGCTATCTCTACATTGCAGAAGTAACCATTACTAACAGTTGGCTATATGTCACAACAGTAATTTCTGAAAGAGTTACTCAAATGTACTAAATCTTGACTTTGTCACTTAATGTACCCTAGAAATCTGCCAACACATACACATCTACCTTTAAGGCCATGTAGTATTTTGCTGATGTGGTGTACCTCAATGTTTGAGACCTGATTATGAGGCTGGGAGCTCTGCCTTTGTACTGGATCGAACTGGAATACAGCCATTTTCCCCTCCCCTCCCTTTTTTAGCTGGCAGGGCGTCTGTCTTTCAGGGCAGGGAACAAACAGTGTCACAAACCCAGCAGGCATGCAAATATTTGCTGCCAAATCTCTGGAGCTCCGTAGACCCGTATTTTCATGTGGAACCTGTTCTCTGGCCTGGACTGCTGCAGTGGACACCTCCCTGGCCTGAGCTTATCCTCCACATGGCTGCCAGAATCATCTTCAGAATGAGGAAGTCCAATCCCCAAGTTTTCCTGCTCAAAATCCTCCAGTGGCTCCTCTTGGCCTGGTTCTTTTTGGAGGGTCAGGCTCCCTTTTGAGAATCTGGGGAGTACAAAAGACTCTCACCCCCGGGGGAAAAAGGTGCATACTGTCTAAAGCCTACCTCAGGATAACATATGAATGTCTCAGACTGCATTGGTTCTCACGAGTGGCCCTGGCCTCCACCCGCCTTACCTCTTACCCTTTGCTTTTCTTTCATACCTTCCTGCTTTGGCCATATGGAATTATTAGCAGTGTCCCTTACACTTTGCCCGTGCTGTTCCCTCTGCCTGGAATGCCTTCCCATTTTCGCCACCCGAGACATTCTCTTCTTTCCTGTACTCAGCCAAAGCATCGTCTCTTCTGTAGTCTTCCCAAACCACTCCAGGCAGACACAGGCATTCTGGCTTCCCTGACTTTTTCCAGTCCGGTGCTTTACTCTACTGTAATTGTCAGTTTCCTCAAGAGACTGTGAGTTCCCTGAAGACAGGAACTGGGCTTTTCATATTTGCAGCCTCATACGCAGCATGGGACCCATCTCAATTAAGTAGTGCTTAGTCGTGGAAGGAATGAAGGACCGGTCTGTGTGCCACCAACATGTCTTTCATAACCTTCCTCTACAGTAACACATCATATCGACAGGTAATCCCAGGAGCTGGGGGACAGTGTGTCCTAAAGCTCAGTAATTCCAACAGCACCGTCACCAGTGTCCTCATAACCATCATCCACAAGTACAATTAATTTTTAACATAATCACAACTTTAATAATGCCTTACTGTAAGTTATAATAACTGTAAAATTATGTGTTGCGCTAATTATGTATTCTTTCTAAGATGCAAATGCTAAAAGATATTCATCACAGGACTACCTAAAGCAGTGTTACCCACATTTCTCTGATAAGAAGCATCTGAGGTGCTTGTTACAAACACAACATCCAGGATCCTAACTCAAACTCACTCACTCAAACTCTCCAGGGGAGGGATCTGGGAATTAGTAGGTTTAACAAATGCCCCCGAGTGATTTGATTCTTAGGGAAATTTGGGAAACAACGACAGAAGAAAGCTATCTACACCTTGCTACAGGCCCCAGATTTGTGGATAACTGGAAGGGCAACAATTCAGACTAGCTGGGCTGCCAGACCCCACAGCTACTCTCTATTCCAAGAGACGCTCTGGCTTTCAAAACAGAGGTTCCACCAGCCCTCAAGTGGTTGTAAGTAGCAAAGAACCCAGTTCAGACTAGAGCAGGCGAACCCTGAGGGCCAAGGTTCACTTATGTATACCTAACCAAATTCCTCACAAAAAGCTTTCACAGGACCCATGGAGATTAAAAAAAAACCATGGTTTCTACATCTAGAGTTGTACAGAAACTTCATCCTCACCAAAACCAAAGTCAGGACCCTAAGGCAAAACACAGAAGTTCTAGAAGGAAGTGCTTCCTAGGGAAGTACTGCTGATTAAATCACTGTACCTGTCTTCTATCTCCGTCCCATCTTCTTTTATTTCCAGTGCCTAGGCACAAGGCCCCACATGCATGATTAGGTGATACTTTGATTTGAAGGCAGTAGATTCCTGCTGGACCAGGGCCACCAAGAGAGGATCTCCTGGGTCTTTTCTGACTGGAATATGGTGGCTTCTCAATGAGAAAGCAGGCTCTGTTATTCCACTATCGCCTTGCCACTCAAAGTCAGCATCAGCATCTCCCAAGTGCTAGTTAGAAATGCAAAATCTCTGGCCCCATCTAGACCCACTGAACCAGAACCAGCATTTTAACAAGATCTCCTGGTGATTTGTAAGTGCAGTAAAGTTTGAGAAGTACTGTTCAACAGGGCTTGAAAACAGCCTCCGTATTGGCTGTCAACCATTATCCTGCCCAAACAACCTGGGAGAGCTGAAACACTCCCATGGGAATTAGAGATGCTTATAACTTTAACAGCTAGGAAGGTAAATAATGGGATGATACTCCCATACTCCCTGGGGAATTAATCTCTACTTTTCCTTACTTTCTCCCACATCACATTACTTAGAAACCCAAAGCACCTAGATTCCCTAACACCTTAAAACTCATGATAAGGATTTTTGGTAAAGTTAAATGAGATCATTCAAGTTCTTAGCTCAATTATCTGAGCACAAGAAGAATAAATAAATGATAGAAGATGTAATAAATGATAACTGCTATTATTATATTGCCCCTAAGTATTAGCTATGAAAGATTCAATCCTGAGCAAGTCAGGGGTAGGAGACTGAATTGGAGGTACTATATTTAAATTTAATTAAAATTAAATAAAATAAAAAATTCAGCCCTTCAGTCACGTCAGCCACATTTCAAGTGCTCAACTGTCACATGTGGCTGGAAGCTGCATGATGGACAGCACAAACACAGAACATTTCCACCACCACAGAGAGGACTTTCTATTGGACAGTTCTGGTCTAGAAGCCTCTGGAACATCAAATGGCCCCTGTGGGATCTGTTCTGCTTGGGTTGCAGGCTGGGAAGAGAGGCTTCCACGGGGGCAAAGGTTTACATGCCCTTTGTTATTAAGGGATGAGGAGGGGAGGGTTGTGAGAGCCACCCTCAGAAATCAAACCCCCAACAAGGACTGCCACTAACTTTCTGTAAGGGACTCAGAAAAACACAGAAAAAAGGCCCCAAACAAAACATTTCTAAACTTTATTCTTTTTTTTTTTTTTTTAATGTTTTATTTATTTTTGAGGCAGACAGGGATGAGCATGAGCAGGGGAGGGGCAGAGAGAGAGAGAGAGAGGGAGGGACACATAGAATCTGAAGCAGGCTCCAGGCTCTGAGCTGTCAGCACAGAGCCCAATGCGAGGCTCGAACTCACAGACTGTGAGATCATGACCTGAGCTGAAGTCAGACACTTAACCGACTGAGCCACCCAGGCACCCCTAAACTTTATTCTTTTCATCTCTGTCCTCCAGTAGTGATCAGTGGTCAATCCTTAAAAGGAAAAGGACCTGGTAGCTTAACTTAGGTTCAGCAAAGAAATAAGTGGGATTAGGAGGGAAATGCCAGCCACTACTGAAGGGGGACACCAGGTTGAGAGCTAGGGACCTCTAGTACTGATAGGAGAGACAGCTCAGGGTGTCACCTGTGCCTGAGAAGGGACCATCTGGCTGGACAAGAGAGAGGACCACGTGCAGCTTCTAGCACACACTTGTGCACGCCTGCCAGCATTTGCTAACACCAGTTCCCTGCCTAAAATGCCTGACATTCTCCCTCTCTATTAACTCATGTAGTAAATTTTTAATAAATGCCTGCAAGTGCCAGATGCTATGAACACAAATTAAGTCACATAAAGAGGTATGTACAGTCATTAAAATGGTCTGACATTTGACTACATCTCCATTCAGAAAAAAAAAGGCAGAGAAAAGAAAAATAAATTCTAGATAATTTAACTATATAAATAAAATCATAGAAATATTAGAAAAAATACAAAAGACATTATGATTTGAGATACTAAGGACCTTCTTAAATAAGACACAACCACAAAAGCCATAAGAGAAAAGACTGATAATTTTGACCCCATCAAAATTTAGAACTTCTGTTTAACAAAGAAGATCACCAAAGTTAAGATAAGCAACACAATGTTAGTTTTTTGCTTAAAATACATTCTGGACAAAAGAGTCACGACATATAAAATAAAGAACAAAGATTCAGAATTTGTAACTATTCAAATCCTAAGAGAAGGGTAAAAAAAGCTATATGCTACAAACATAGTATATTGTCAGGTTTTCTTTTTTTAAGTTATTTAGAGAGAGCGAGCGAGGAGAGGAGCAGAGAAAGAGAACCCCAAGCAGGTTCCACACTCACGAAGTGTGAGATCATGACCTGAACCAAAATCAAGAGTTGGACACTTAACCGGCTAAGCCACCCAGGTGCCCATTTTTAATTTTATTTTTATTATTATTATTTTTTAATGTTTTATTTATTCTTGAGAGAAAGAGAGACAGAGCACGAATGAGGGAAGGGCACAGCGAGAGAGGGAGACACAGAATCCGAAGCAGACTCCAGGCTCTGAGTTCTCAGCACAGCCTGACATGGGGCTTGAACTCACAAGCCTTGTGATCATGACCCGAGCCGAAGTCGGATGCCTAACCGACTGAGCCACCCGGGTGCCCCTAACTTTTTTAATGTTTATTTATTTACTGTTTTTCAGGTTGATACTTTGTAAACCGCAAAGTGGTAGGAGGAAAATGCCCTAATAACCCTTTCTCTTTAGATCCTTACAATGAGCCTAAGAGATAAATATTATCTCCATTTGACAGATGAGGAAACAGGCTCAGAGAAGGGAAGGGATTTCCCTAAGGTCACAGGGACAGGAAATGGGCTCAATCCCCAAGTTTTCAAGTCTAAAGTTCTTTCCCCTAGACGGTGCTGACTTCACTAGGGACTCCTAACCAAGAGGAGAAAGACACACGTACCTGATCAGTCTCGCTCTGGACTACATCTCCCCACACTGTGAGATCACCACAGGTAGCTTGGGCTTATTGTTGGGGCCTGTGGGCACATTCTAGGAGAGAAAGCATGGTGGAGATTCATCGACTTACACATGCACTCACCAAACATTTACTGACGCCTGCCAGCCCCTGTACTAAGGACCGAGGACTCAGAGACTGAAATGGTAACAGTCCATGCATGTCCTAGCAGAAGGGTATAGATAATCCAGATCAAAAAGAAAATGTACAACATTTAAAAAAAATAGCAAACCTATGACATATAACAGTGTAATAAGTTACAAGAGGGAGTTTATACAACAGGGCAGAGGAAGCAACTAAAGTGCTGCTTAAACAGGTCAGGGAAGGATTCACACAAGAGAGGACATTCGAGCTGGGCCTAGAAGGACGAATGGGATCCCACCAGGAGGAAAAGAAAGAAAAAGAGCATTCCAGTGGCAGAAAGCAACAAGAGGCAGGAATGTGTATGGCATATTTAGAGAAGAGCTAGTGGCCTAACGTGACTAGAACATGGAGGCAGCAGTGGCAGAAGAGGCTGTGGAGAGACAGCGGGGACCAGGTCATGAAGGATCTTGAATTCAATGCTGAGTAGGACTTTATCAAGTAGGTGAAGGGGCCACCAGAGGCCGAACCTCAGTGTGCACTAGAGGCAAATTTACAGGCCAAGATAACAGAGGGGGGGGTCCTTTACTCCTGTACTCCCTCCCCCTTCCTGAGGAAGCCCATGCAACTGGAGGCAGTAAACACTGGACCTAACACACTGGAGCCATCTCCTGGCTCTCCAGCCCCTCCACACTAGTCAGGTGCTACGGGACCAGAATGGGCGAGAGAGGAAATAAAAATAGGACTCACCTCAATCTTTCGCATCACTAGAAGTCCATCAATGATTTTTCCTGTGGGAAGAGTACGAGCTGGACTTTATTACTCTCATTTGCAGAGTATTTTCCAGCTTGCAATGTCCACTCTTATCTATCATCTCATTTGATCTTCATACGACCATCTGAAAATTGGGACTTGATGGAAGTGAAATGATTTGCCCAAGGTGACAGTTCATAAGGAGCAGAGTACTAGGTCTGAGCGACTACAAAGCCCCACTGTACGACGCTGCCTCTGTAGGACATTTCTTAAGTGATACCATCCGGGTCCACCCCAGACATACGTATCACCCAAGTGGTTGCATTCGACATCACACAGCCCTCTGCTCTTCCCTCTAGCTCTCTCCACCTCCCATCACTTCCGCCTTCCCTGCTACTGCCAGAGCAGTTACACCAGGTGGGCACTCTCAGTACTGGAGTCTGGGGGCTGGCTCCTTTGGACATCCCACTCTGGGTGAATGGGGCCTGGACTCCAGGACAGGAATAGGACTCACCAAATACTACGTGCTTCCCATCCAGCCAATCACATTTAGAGCAGGTGATGAAGAACTGGCAGCCATTTGTACTGGGACCACTGTTTGCCTGACAGAAACCAAATATACCTTCAGTGAGTTTTCCTGGCCATGCTAGCCGAAGGGTGAGATTCCCCCAAAGAGCCTATAGCCCTGATTCCATTCTTTCAGCAAACCTTACTGAATATCTACTATAAGCCAGTTCCTGAGCTAGGATCCAAGGATACCGAGATAAATAGGATACACAATATCTGCCGTCAAGGAGCCAGATTCTTGAATAAATGTACAATTCCCCTGCAGTGTGAATTTTTATTAAAGGAACAATTGTTCATGGGGCCCAATTTGCTGTATTTAATCCAATACTGGTTAGAACTGGATTACAGTTATAAACTAGATACCAGTGAGAAAAAGCCTGTTGCCTATGCCATAAACTGAATAGCTTTGTACTGCATCATAACAATGGTAATAAAGAAGTTTAAGAAGGTGCGAGAAGTTGCTACACTAGTGCTGTGCCAGGAAAAAAAGACTACATGTAATCAATGATGTTTGCTTTTTACAGCTACACCCAAATCTTTTACTATTGAATTTTACAGGAAGAAGTATTTTTTAATTGAGAATCTGAGAGTCTACTCCCCTGAAATTCTTTCTGTATCTTTACATTTCATAATGCACTGTAAAAGAACAGGCAAGTATTACAATGCAAAGTAATACTTTGTAAAGCGAAATTTAACTTTCATAGGAAGTGTACTTTCATATTTTACATGTTGATACTACTAAACTGCCTTTAATATGCTAAATTCAGATTTCTGTACATTAACAAATCCAAGTTACCTTTTAAAAGCACTGCCCTACTAACTCTGTGCACATTTTATTGCATACTTCCCTTATTTTGGAAAAAAGGAGTGGAAAATGGGAAACTGAAAGTACTATTAACAGCATAGGTCTCCTAAAATTAATATGACTACAGCAGCACTGGAAATTATTAGATAGGTCACTAGCAGTAATTGAATGCTTAATGGATTTAAATTGGTTGATTCTGTGTTCAACCGTGCAAGAATAAAAATGTGTATGAAATACATTAAAGACACTGTCCAGGGGTACATTCTCATTGGGGATTTTATATTATACTTAGAAATTCCCCATGTGAGCGCTGCCTGAGTGGCTCAGTCGGCTGAGGGTGCCTGAGTCAGCAGCAGCAGGAGGGCGCTGTGGAACAAGGGCTAGACTTCCCAGACTCCCAGTTCTTTCCTTTCAATCAAGCTTTCCACCAATCAATCTACCTAAGTAGCTGCTTGCTGTATAAATATTTATTAGCAAACAGGCAGGAAAACAGTCCCATGTGTTTTTATAGCTCAGGGGACACGATCTGCCCTTAGCCACTTATTTATTCATTCTTTTAGGCAGCATGGCTTACTACTTTCGAGAAGAAGCTCTGGAGCCAGGTGATGACCTAGCTGGAATCCCAGTTTCACCACTGAACGTGTGACCTCAGATTAGTCACATAACCTCCCTGTGCTTCGATATCCTCATTTGTACCCATTTCAAAGGGATGTTGAGAGGATTAAAACCAATTAATGCAAATAAGGTGCTTGTTGAGTAACTGTCCAATAAATGGTAGCCATCATTCTGATTATCTTTCAGTGATTCATGTTTATAGGTATCTACTCAGCACCTTTCAGTATCAGGTAGTAAGTAAGGCTTGGAGATCAATGAGGCCCTGTCCCTGCCCTTGGGTAACTCATGATTTAGAGGATGGAAACAAAAACAAGGACATTACACGGTATGTGAAAGGACAGCACAACTTCACCAGTGTCAGCCTGAAGGGCGTAGAGACCAATGTTTCCTTCCAGTTTTGAGTCCTCCATAGATGCTAACAAGTGGCATGCACCTAGAGGGTTCTAGTCCTCCTGGCAAAGATCCAAGCCCACCTAAACTACTCCTGCAGCATTAACCTGCACTTGCCTGGCCTGGCTGTCTGAAAAACGGGACGTGCACACTGTTTGCTAGGCTTAGTGTTGCCCAGTCCTCATGGCAGCCTCCTTCCTGGCTTCTCTGCCCCCAGCTCTCCATTCCCATCTGCCACTCACACTGCAGCCAGGGTCTTCATTCTAAATCACAAAGTTGATCAACCCTGCTCAAAAAAGCGTACACCTCTCCATAACCTGTGAACTCAAGTCCACACACTTCATCCTTATTCTGGCATTTAAAGCACTTTAGGAGCTAGACCCACCAGTCTCTTCAGTAGTCTCTACTGGCCCTTCCCCCTCCCCATGCACATCCTATGTTCTCATCACCTTCCTCACCTTTGGTCCCTTGACTATGCCACCCTGCCATTTCATGGTCACACAGCTTTGCCTAGGCTATTTGCTCAACTTGAAATGCCATCTGGAATAGAGCTCCTTCCAGAACTCAAAAGCTCTCCCATCTATGAAGCTGTTCCTGACCCCTCAAAGTAATTACTCTCATTCCATGGGGCCCTCACGGTACTTTTACATACCCTAAGGTGCCCTCATCTTAATACACAGTGGCATGAATTACACTATACTGGACTTGTCATTTTGCATGTGTGATTCCCCCGTTAGATGTTAAGTGTCACAAGGGCAGGGATCAGGTCTGTATCCTTGTACCCTACCCTGACCTGATACAAAGTGGGTGTCGGTAAACCTTCACTTGATAAAGGCCTGTGTAGATAAATGGAAGGGGAGGCAAGAAGGACAGAAAGTGTGCCTGTAAATATTGAGTCTGGGAGAAAGAGTGTGGGGAAACTGCCAGGGAAATGGGTGATGAGGGGAGGCAGGGAGGAGATTGGAGAGTGAGAGGGAAGGAAGGTGAGACGGGTAAGGAAAAATGAGGGCAGAGTGAATACGGAGAAGAAGGGGGAGCGATCAGGAGTGGGTAGATGAGGGGGTTAAGTGGGGCAGATAGGGAGCTGAGAAAGGCAAGTGAGATGTGGGAGTGGGGGGTCTAAGTAGGAAGGGGTGCCAGGCCGAGGGAGCGAGAGTGGTCAGCGAGCCCAGAGGAGGACCAGCCGGGAGGCAGCATGAGTGGGAAGTCATCTCAGGACGCCAGGGTGGAGCACCAAGTGCATGGGCGCCATGTCCCGACAGCACAGCTGGCTGCACTCCGAGCGGCAGGGCTGAAGGCTGAGCCGCACACCCTCGCTCGAGCGAGGTAAGAAAACACACATCAGAGTTTCAGTTTTGCCCGCCCCCCCAAAACTTCCAATGCTGAGGGCCCAGCCCAACCAAGTCAAAGCCAACTGAGGAAGGAGGTAGGTGTGGCAGAGCTGAGTCCTGGGACAAGTGAGAGAAGTAAAGAACGAGCTTCCATCCCAAGAGATGGCACCGTGCCTCAAGGGGCGCCCACAGACACGCTGGCTACAAATCTAACCCAAAACCTTGACTGGCTCTCACTTACCATGGAAAGCAGGCCTGGAGCGGAGTGCCTAAGTTTAAAATTTTCATCTGCAAATGGCCCCCGGTAAATACTGGCGACTCCAGTACCATCTCCCTGAGCAGAGAGAAAGGACGTGTTAGCAAGTGTTGAGTGTTGGGCTCCCCCTCTTTGGGCCCCCTGGAGGAATGCTGCTGTACCATAGCCAACTTTTTGAAGGTGCACTCTTACTCCTGAAGGTCACTTTGGGAGCCATACCTCTCTGACCCTGTCTTATAATCAAAGCCGGCCCTGTCCCAGGCACCTGCAGCTCACAGACTGGCCGGGGCATCTCACAGATTGGGTAAAACAGATCACAGCTGGGCCTCTAGAAAGGTCAGTTAAGACAAGGCAGAGTAGGGAACAATAGTATAGTGATCCCATACATAATCCTTACCACTCCCAAAGACTCTCATGCCTGTTATCAAATAAAATTACCCACTTAAGTGCCACTATCCCTGCTCCCCAAAACTGCAGGTTGATGGGCTCTTGGAAGCCTAGTCTGTATGGACACCACGCTCTTGACCAAAGTTGATTGATCCAGGAGAGCACACCTAACTAATGCAGGGCCAACTAAAGTTCCTTCTCTGGGAATCATGAAGGACTGATGCTCTCTTTGATGTTGAATGTGTATCATGTAAACCTGGAAGCCAGCAGTGGCCATGCTCTGCAAGGTGGACTGGAGAACAGAAAGAGAAGGCAATACACAGGTGTAGAGAGCATGAGAGAAACAGAGAAAAAGGACTGCCTTGGTCCTATGTGGCTTTCCAGTTCTTAGTTCTGTTTCTTCTTAAACTAGCTTAAACCAGCTTTATTTTCATTATCTCTTTGCTCTTCCAGTAACCGTGTGGAATAAGCGCTATCATCTTCCTCATTTTTCAAGTGAGCCAACTTATGTCAGGGTAATAAAGCAACTTGACCACAGCCATATTTGCAGTACCTTAAACAGAATCCCTGGGGTCTAAAGCTAATAATGAGAAGGTGCCTGCCAAAACCCAATCTCTTCCAGCCAAAGAATATTGGGTGAATGGTAGAGAGGGAAAGCACCGGCCTAGGGCAGAATCAAAGGGCCCTTATTGTGAAAAAGATTATCAAAGGGTATTAACATAAGCCAAGGAAGGAAGAATCAAAATCAAAATCAAACCTTTATTTGACTAAAAATTATCAATAAAACTAAGCTCTGTATGGTGGAAAGGCCTGGATGTGAGTTCCAGGTCCATCATTTATAAGCTGGGAGAGTCACTTCCCATCGCTGAGCTTCAGTTTCCTCAACTATCAAGTGAAGATGAAATCACCTGCTCTTTACAGCGTTGCCATGGAGATCGAATTAAACAGTGTCTGAGAAAAGACCTTGCAATTGATACACAATTATATAAATGTGAGCTATTATATCTTTAACTCCACATAAATACCTACATATATACAGAAGGAAGAGAAAAACAAGTTCATTTCCAATTTCCCAACAAACCTGGGGGACAGATCAGTTACCACATCGTTCTCTATAATTACACTATCGGTTGCTCTCCAGGAGCCAGAGTAGGGAAAATGACAAAATTAATTTTCAGAGAAAATAATAGAAAGCAACTTAAATCTTTTTACCACAGTGGATTGATCAAATAACTTATCTATTCATAATGGAATATTAGGTAGCTATTATAAAAAATGACTTAATGACAAGGGAAAATGTAGATAATTATTAAGTATAAAAAATTAAAATATATACGTGATTTTAAGTCTGTTAAGAATTATATTTGACACACATACACGTGCAATGATGAGACTGGCAAATGTAAACTAAAATGCCAAGAATATATTCCTTGAGAAGTGAGATTCCTTGAGAGATAATTTTGCAATTTTGCAATCAGAAAAAAAATTATTAAAACAAAGAAACACATATTCTTGGTCCAACTTTAGAAGGTCTCAATACCTACTTATTCTGCTTCTTGCTCATTCTATTTTTTCTTTCCTAAGAGTGGCTCTGAACAATTGTTTCTTGCTGACACAGCCTCTGGCTGACCAACTGTACTGTCTGATTCTAGAGCTATCAGCAAACGACTAGATGTGCCTGGCAATGATGCAAGAAGTTGGTCCTGGCCCTCTTAAGACAACATGGCAACACAGGAGCCTAGGGAAGAAAGAAAAGAAGGCAGAGAATAGATTCTTAGCCCTTCTTACCAGCTAACAAAAAAGTATACGGTCACTCAAGCCCTACTACCATCAGTTATGGCCAGGGATTGCAAACTTAAATGCCTACAGAGGCAAGTGACATAAATAAGGAAAGCAGGCGGTAGTGGCTGTGGTGAAACGGCAAGGACACATGCTATTTAAATTTTTTTTTTCCACGTTTTTATTTATTTTTGGGACAGAGAGAGACAGAGCATGAATGGGGGAGGGGCAGAGAGAGAGGGAGACACAGAATCGGAAACAGGCTCCAGGCTCTGAGCCATCAGCCCAGAGCCTGACGCGGGGCTCGAACTCACGGACCGCGAGATCGTGACCTGGCTGAAGTCGGACGCTTAACCGACTGCGCCACCCAGGCACCCCCAAGGACACATGCTATTTAAAGGGAGCAGTTACGTGATTCCAAACAATTGTTGCTATGTGAGAAACACAGGCCTAATGCACCTCTATTTTCCCTTTAGAGAGAAAACTCTGGAATTTTCTGGTGAAATTTCCCAGTTTTACAACATCACACACATGAAACAAAGCATATCTGAAAGCCTGATTTGGCCTAAAATCTGCCCCTTTGTAACCTTCCCTAGATAGGAAAGAGACAGGTCTTCAAAAACTCCTAAGAATTAGGGACACCTAGGTGGCTCAGTTGGTTAAGCATCGACTTCAGCTCAGGTCATGATCTCACGGCATGAGTTCAAGCCCTGCATCAGGCTCTGTGTTAACAGCTCAGAGCCTGGAGCCTGCTTCAGATTCTGTGCCTCCCTCTCTCCCTGCCCCTCCCTGCTTGCACTCTGTCTCTCTTTCTCTCTCAAAAATAAATAAAACATTTTAAAAAGTTAAAAACAAAATAAAAAAACTCCTAAGAGTTAAATAAATATACCTATGAAGGAGAAAGAATGTCTTCCAGATCCAAGAAAATCCCAACATGACTAACCAAATGATATAAATAAGAAAGACCATGCACACAAGAGGTTGGCCAAGGACAAAAGTAGGTTTAAGAAGAAAAGATATGGTTTATTCAACACCTGCCAAGGTCAGAAGAAGGAAATGAGACTTGGTATGAGAGACACAGGTAGTCTAGTCAAAAGAAAGACATGCTTCGCAGTGAAGAACTATTCCACCAGGCCCTCCTAGAAAACAGAGGAAATACCCCTCCAGAACAATCTATCTCTGATGCTCTAATTCTTTGTCCACTAATCAGTTTCTGATGAAAAACTCAGCTTTCCAGGCATTGTGATATGAGGAATGGAAGGGAAATGGGGCATAAGAATTTAGCTCACTGGAAAAGGACTTACTGCCATTTAGAAATTAACAAAAAAAAATTTCATCTGATATCTATCGAAGTTTCATGTGACTAACTAGTTTGTGTCTCTCATGAATCATCTATAGGTGTGCTGGAAAAGTTCAGTTTCTGGCCCTAAAAGGCTAAGATTTGGAAGTCAGTGACTCAATCAAAACGCTGATGTCTATCATCTAATGGTTAAAGAGTAGTAGCCAGCAACCCTAAAGGACATTCCTATCACCCCCTCCTCCTTCAAACTTGGCTACTGTTTTCAAGCCTTAAGACTGGGCCCTGTAGTAAAAACAGCAGTAGCAGCAATAACAAAAAACAACATTCCTATAGGTCTTTGATAGCAAAGGAATAGTACTTACATTAACAAAATCCCCACCCTGAATCATGAAATCCTTTATGACCCTGAAACAGAGAATTAAGGATCCTGAGAGAAGGCTCTGCGGTTTAGAAAAACATTGATTTAGTCATTATACTTTAGATTAACATTGATTTAAAAATAAAATGTTTATCACTTTGGCTTTTAATAAGCCTTCAAATCAGCTTTTGAGTTCACAAAACCATTCCTTCTCAAGATCTAGGAATTATCCTATGGTTTTATTTTCCTCTAAAGAGACTAATCCCCTAAGGAAGTAATTCTAAAAGCCTGTAGCGATGGCTTGCAAAGGACTTACCTGTGGAAGGTGCTCCCTTTGTATCCTATTGGAACCCCATCTTTTCTATAACCAAAAACAAAGAGACTTGGAATGATGACAGGCAATCATAGGCCTTTCCAGTTTACCACACACTCGAGCCAAGGGACTCTCCTAAAGCTCAGGAGAACAGAGACAAAGAAGGCAAATAAACTGAAGACAGACCCATGGCGGTATTACCTATTACTGTCACCAATAATCATTCAAGGCCTGCCGGTGGTTCCCCCCAAAACCCCACTGCAGCCCCAGGACACGCTTCAGGAGCAAGCAGAGAAACCAACCACGTCTGAGACTTACCTGAATTCTCCAGTGCAGAACTGTCTGAAAGAGAAAAGAGTGAATGATTCAGTCACCATGACATCACAGCTGAGAGCGCCCCTAATATAGGAGGTGGGGGTGGGGTAACATTCGCGCCAGCAAGCCCATCAACTGGCCAGCCGACGTCCAAACACTAAGCATAAAACTAACAACATATATTGACATGGGAACAGTAAAAACGGTGACTATTCAGACAGAGCGATACAAAGGGGACTCAGATCTCAAGGGCAGTGAGTGGACGGATAGAGGCAGGCAGACGATTCCGCAGACCGGTCCAGCTTCTGCTTGGGTTAATCTGGCAGAGCTGGAGCATCATCTTCTTACCTAAAATTTTCGGCCGTTTTAGGCACAACGTCGGCAAAGAGCTCGATCTTCATGCGGCCAACTTCCTGCAAGCGGCAGGAGACGGTCAGAATGGCCGGTCCAAGACCACCGAGGACTCAGCCAGCAGGGAACAGGAGGGTCCGACCCCT